ATGACTCACCTTCCCTCCTCCCCAAAACAAAAACCCAAACTCACTGCTATCAAGTCGACTCGACTCATAGTGACCACTCCTTGGGTATCTGAGGTGGTATCCCTATGGTAGATTGCCCAATCTTCCTTCCAAAAAGTGGCTGGTGGATTTGAACCACCCACCAGCCTTCTGGTTAGCAGTCAAGTGCTTTAGGCACTATGCTACCAGAGCTCCTACCCCTAGTAACCACTAATAAACTTTGATCTTCATGCATTTGGCTATTCTAGATGTTTCATATAAGTGGGAACATACAATTTTGTCCTTTTATGATGGTTTTTACTTCACTGAGCATGATGTTTTCAAAGCTCATCCATGTTGTTTCATGTATCAGTATGAAGTTGTTCATGTATCAGTTGTTTCATGTATCTCTTTATGGCTGAGTGATATTCTATTGTACATATGTACCACATTTTTCTTACCCATTCATCTGTTGATGGACATTTGTGTTGTTTCCACCTTTTGGCAATGAACATTGGTATGGAATACCTGTTTGCTTTGCTGCTTTGAAGTCTTTTAGGAGAATTGTTGAGTCACATGGTAGATCTGTATTCAGCTTTCTGATGAACTGCCAAACTATTTTGCATAGTGATTGAACCATTTTGGGTATTATGTTCTGAGACTCTGGATCTTATTTAAACCTTCGTGTTAGTTGACTTTTTCTGACACAACTCTAGTGGGACAAGTGCCACCTTATTTCTACCAATAGAAGTAGAAGTCCAGATTCACCCTCCATCAATATCCAAGGTAGGGAGAGGCTCATCATTACTTGTGGGTAGGAGTGAAAGTGTAGTCACTCCCCAGTAGGCCTCCACCAACATTACTGGGAGAGGTAAGAGTGCCTCCTTATTGCTTCCCATGCATCCTCCACTGAAATCACAGGGGATGACCACATTACTGCTGGACAGTAGTGAAAGTCCTGGCTCTCTACAAGGCCCTCTCTATCTCTACTCCAGCAGTCAGGGTAAAGGGACCCTCAACATTATTGGATGTAGGCTCCACTGATGAGGGAGTTAAGGGGCAGGGATCTTTATCAGCCTTCTCTGACATTTCCCCTAGGAGAGTTTGGTGTACCTCATTACAGCCTGCTGAGAGTGAAAGTCTAGGCTCCCCACTTTACCTTTCTGGCATTGGTGAGGTTTGGGCCACAGATTTTTGACCTTGGTGTTTGGCTGGACTGCAGTGGTTCTTGCTTAAATGTTTTCTGCCTTGCTAGACTGCCTCCTTTCTGGTCCTTTAGCTGGAAAGAGACTTGTATTGAGATTTTCTTTTGTTGTTATTGTTGTCTGTACCCATTGAATTTAGGCTGCTGACTTCTCCATTCAGAGTCTAGTGATGTTGCAAATAGCAGGGACTGAGTAAATGAATGAACATGCAAACCTTATTTGCTTCTCTTCATGCAGCCCTTGATACTGATGACCACTCCTCTATTTTGAAACCCTTTCCTCTCTTCAGTTATTTAATCATATGCTGGCTGGTCTGATCACTTTGTAGGCATCTTGTCTGGTTTCTGTCCTTTGATGTGGCTCCAGCTTGGAGGCCGATGTCCTCCAAGATTCAATTCTTGGTTCTCAACTTTTCCTGTTTCACGCTCTTTCTCTGGGTGAGTTCAGTTATTCTCATGGTTTCAGACATCATGTTGGGCAATGATTCCCAGATCCACATTTCCAACTACTCCCTGGAAACTTCTTCCTGAATATTTAGTAACTCCTTCAAAGACAGTATGCATGACACAGTATATATTCATTTCTTGCTACCAAAACAGGTGACTACAAACTTAGCAGCTTAAGCTTAAGAGTTCTCTCTTTGTGGTAGTTAAGGTTGTGTGTCAACTTGGCTGGGTCTAGTTGAGTGGCTGGGCAGCTGGTGGTGTTTATTCCCCATAATGAGACTGGCAATCTACTCCATGGTGGGATCTACCACAAGCAGCTGAGTAGCTGCTTTAGTGATGTGGTCTGCTTCCCGTATATAAGAAGCAGCTTTGGAAATGGTCTCTAGCTTATGGCATGCTTGAACCCTACATGTAGTTGAGTCATTGTACAGCAGCCTGCCATACTCCCAATCTTGGGACTTTCAGTGGACTTCAATCAACACCCTTCTGTGTGGTTTGGTAATATTGGGGCTGTGCCTTTTTATTTGTCAACCTTGGGTTTGTCAACCTCAGCAGCCAGCAGTTGTCTGAGTGAAGAAAAGCCTGCAGCTTCAGTGGGCTGGGAGCAGGAGGCAGAGCTGAAGCCCAAGGTTGAGGGGCTTTCAGCCAGCCCCTAGAGCCTGGCACTTTGAACTCAGACTCAAAGCCTCCAAACTGCGAGAGAATAAACTCCTGTTTATTAAAGCCATCCCATTTAATTATTCCTGTCAGAGCAGCACTAGGTAACCAAAACACTCTCTTTTTTTCTTTTTCTTTTTTACATTTATTGTGGAGAAAACATACACAAGACATTCTCCAACATAACAACTATACTTTATGGCTGAAAAATATTCCTGTTATTGATTGAAAAATATTCCTGTTATTTGTCTCCCCAAAATATGTAAGTCCTAAAATGTTTATAATCCCATTTGAGAATGGTTTATCTATGTTATGTTAATGAGGCTGTATTAGTGCAAGATGTGTCTTTAAAAAATATTAAGTATTTTTTAATAAGGAAAAAAAAATCCACTTTAGATCATTCAAGGAAAGATCATTTATACTGGCTACTAGGTCTGCACTCCAGCCTCCCTCTTTCCCATCAGACTGGACACTCACCAAAGACAGTGGTCTTGGCCCTCTTTCTAAAACCAGCTGCTCTTAGATTGATTCTGACTCATGGTGACCCCTTAAAAACAACATCCTCTGGATCTTCCTGCAAGCACTTTTACAGAGGGTGCCCAAACAGTGATTATGACCACTGGGTGAGCCTCTATTTTTCAGGAACCCTGTTAGAACACTGGACACCTACAGACAACTCCTTAACAGTCAGGGCAAAGTAATTCTTTCTAGTGCAAAGCCAATCACATTTCTTCCTCTTCTTAAAATTTGTCAGAAGCTGTTTATAAACACATAAGACCTATTGTGAATGCTTCCTTAGCTTTTGCAATTTTCTTTCCTGATTGTACCTTTTATTTAAATCATGTTTTTACTAAACTCCTAGTTTATTTGCTGTTTTCTAAGTGTATGCTCTGGTTTCATTTCCTTATGTCATTACCTATAATGATATTCTGCTTGGAAATCCATTCCCTACTTGGATCTTCATCACCTCACAGATCAGTTTAGGTGTTTCTCTTGCTGAAATCCTCCCAGAATCTAGCTAATGTGGTCTCATCTATGCTTCCAGCAATCACACACATCTCAGGACACTTACTCCGTTTTCTGAACGGAAGTTACTGACTTACTGCTCGTTTCCACCTCTACTCTGTAAGTTCCCAGAAGGCAGGGACTGTCACTCATAACTATAATCTCAGTGTGTGGTGACATCATTTCTTTCAGGCTTTTGAGCCAGATGCTTTGTTCAGCTAAGTTTCTTTTTCTAATAAGCATTTAAGGATAAACATTTCTGTCTAGGAATTACTTCACATGCATTATATAGCTTTGAAGTGTAGATGGTTCACTTTCATTGCATTCTAAATACTTTCTAACTTTTCTTATGATTTCCTTTTGGACCCTTTTTAAAAAAAAAAAAAAAAATTAACAATTTCTAAAAGTATTAGTTTTCAAAGGTTTTCCCTCCCCCCATAATTGCCTTATGATTAGAGAAAGGTTCTTTCATTATAGTTCTTTATGTTGGTAGTTTTTTGTCATCTTCATGTCTTAGGTACATAGTGCTGCTGTAATACAACTGCCAGAAGTGGGTGGCTTTAAAGAATAGAAACATATTTTCTACTTCAGGAGGCAAGAAGTCCAAATTCAGAGCATGGCTATAGAGGGAAGTCCTTTCTTATCTATTTGAGTTTCTAGTAGCTGCCAGCAATCCTTGGCATTTTTGGCTTATAGATGTACCTGTCTCCATCACCCATCTTCTTCCTGTGTGTGTCTCTGTGTCTATTCTGCTCTTTTTCATAACTCAGAAGTGATTAGATTAGGAGCTTCCTACTGTAGTATGAACTCTTTAAATAACAAAAGTAACACAATCATATTTACAGTTAATAGTGGTTAGGTTCTCGACACATATTTTGTGGGACACAATTAAATGCATAACACCCTGGAAACATGCTCTCTATTCTAGTAAGTAGACACACTTTGTAAGGTTCCATGTGTTTGAAAATATTTTATAATCTTTCTTGGTGAGGTCCCTGGTTTAGTGTACTAAATGACTAAATGACTGAATGACTTGATCTTCACCTTCCCCCCATGCCTGACCCACTGCTCTTATATCTTTCTCCGTATCTCAGGTCCTTGGAGACTAAGGTCCTGTCGTGTTCTAACCAGTCCTTTCCCACCTGGCCTCATAATCAGTGTTCTGGCCCTGCACTTAAGACAAAGGTGAGGTGGCAGGATACTTCCATCTGCACCAGGAAATGTCAGTCTCACCTACTCTTGGTTACTTCTCATGGAGCCCTACCTGTTTGTATATACACTACACTCTTGTGTACAACTCTCCCTGCCAGACTGGACCTGAATATATCCCTCTTCTGACATTCCCACACCATTCACCCAGAGCACAGTATTGACCCAAGACAAATCATCTTCCAGTCTGTTCCATCCCCCACTTTTTACATTACTCCCTCAGACTACGTCTGACCTTGGTCTTACATAGGCATTTATGGCCTTCCAATTGCACTTCCTAGTGCAATAATTCAGAGTCCAAAGTCTCTGGACTTTCAACAAGTATAATCTTAAGGTGTGGAGACACTAAGAAGAGCAGTGGTTTGCCATCAGCTCCTGCTGAGCCTCTATGTCTCCTATACCTTGTACAGCTAACCTGAACTTTTCTCTAATCCATCTATTCCTCTCACTTGCCATCAATTTGACAGCAAGAGTTACATCCATGCCCCTTGTACTCACGTTGGTTCTCAGTTTCCTCAAGCTGGTGGCAGGTAAGTCTTCTGGGCTGCGTTGTTCTCTATCCTCTTCCTGTTCTGTTCATTGACAATTGGAGTTCATTAACTATAGTGATCACAGCATATTGGGAATGAAGGCATCTTTGTTGTTTGCATCTTTGACCTCTCCTATTCCTAGCCTGTCATCCCCCAGTTCTAGGTGATATGGGAGGCATGGAACAGTAGGAAGGACTCAATACTGTGGAAACTTCAAAAATAAAATAAAATAAAACCTCACTGATGTTGAGTTGATTCCACTCATGTTGACCCGTCCTTGAGTTTCCAAGGCGGTATCTCTATGGAAGTAGATTGTCCAGTCTTCCTTCTGAGGAGTGGCTGGTGGGTTTGAACCACCAGCCTTCTGGTTAGCAGTCAAATGCCTTAGGCACTATACCACCGGTTACCCAGGAATAATGTTGCAGAGGTACTAATGAGAGACTTCAGTAGTGGGAAGGGGATACACAAAAGATGTTAAGGTAACTGTTCACTATAGATTAGTAAGTAAGCCAGTGCTTACCTTGCTTACCGGGCACTCTATTCCTGTCAGGGATTGCAAATTTGAAAAGAGGCTTTGATTCTGTGGGAAGGTGCTGTGGAGTTGGGAGAGAGACAGATACCAGCCATCCCTAGAAGCAGAATCTTTGCTGTTTTTTTTTTTTTTTTTTTTAAGTGAAATTTCTCACTACAGATTGTTTAGTAAGCACAAGTAATCCCATGCTTACCTTGCTTATTGGATAATTCACTCCTGGGAAGCAGCAGGTTTTTTTTTTTTTTTTTTTTAATTCTATTTTCTCTGTTGTTTAATTCTGTGCCTTATAACTTCTCTTAGTGTCTGTTTGCTCATCATGACATGGAGATAGCATTACATTCCTTACAAAGACTGTTGTAAGATTACATGAGATCATGTGTATAAAGCATGCAACTCAGAGCTCTGTTGGTACGTCAGATGTGTCCGTCCATACAAAGTTCTTCCCTTGCTGCTCAAGAGAAGAGAAAGTAAAGAGTGGAAAGAGCTGCGATAGGCAGGGAAAATGACAGCAGCAAGTGTTGTCCAGATGAACCAGAGAGACTTGGAAAATCTTCCCTGGTCTCTGTAACCCCACACAGCCCTGAAGCAGCACCACCAGCGGCCTAGCGGACTTATCCTTGATCCCCTAGAACAGATCCCAGGATAGGTGACTTGTTTAGGAGGCAATTCTGGGGAACAAAAGTAAGGGCATGGGAACAGTGAGGCTAGGAATGGAGGAAAGTGAAAGAAAAAGTGTGTTAATGAGCAAGTTACTGCGTGGAGAATGGAGACTCAGTCCCACTGAAACTTTTTGAGGAACTATGTAGACCATGACTCAGAATCATTCTAAAAGGAGCAAGGAGGATGGGGGTTCATCCACTGCCTCTTGTTCCCCACTGGGTAAGATATTCCCCTAAAGTAGTTAAAATCTCAGGGCTACTGGGATTCCCTGCATCTGGACTGAGCAGGCTCCAAAATGAGGGAAGACCTTAGCAGAGTCAGAGAATAAGCTCTTGGGGTGGAGCTGTCAGAATTCAGGGGATGTGGCCCTCCCATAAAAGGTGGATTCAGAGATGTGTGTTGGGGGGAGGGACAGGGCAGCACAGTCATCTGATATGTCAGGTCAGCAATGGTCAAGTATCTTTCATTTAATAAGAGTATCCAGACAGTTATCAAACATATTTAAAGTAAGAAATAATCGATCCCAAAATAAACATAACTTCACTAATTTGCAAAATTTACATGACACACTTTGCCTCCAGTGCATACATACACACTATATATTTATATACACACACATATATGGAGCTCTGGTAGTGTAATGCCTAAGGCACTTGTCTGCTAACCCGACGGCTGGGGTTCAAACCCACCAAGCGCTCCTCGGAAAGAAGATGGGGCAATCTACTCCTATAATGATACTGCCTTGGGAACCCAAGGAAGGGTCGCTATGAGTCGGGTCCCACTCGACATAACGCACACACACACACACACACATATATGTCAATTAATGATTATGTGTGGATTAATCAAGAGACAATTTCAATCAAGGGGAGTGTGTATATAAAAGTCAAAGAAAGTGTACTTCCCTAATTTGTGATCTCTCTAAAAAAGAACTCTAATCATTACACAACGGCACAAGTGTGATTTACATTGGTAAAATTACTGAAGTGATCATTAAAAAGATGAGCAAGTGTAGAAAGAAAATAGTGCTCACCCTTCCTGCAAGTGACCATTGTTTTTGGAGTCCATACTCTCTGTCCGGCACTGATATTGTTTGTTGTTGTTGTTGTTAAGTGCCGTCGAGTCGTTTCCGACTCATAGCGACCTCATGCACAGCAGAACGAAACACTGCCCGATCCCGTACCAGCCCCACAATCCCTGCTATACTTGAGCCCATCATCGCAGCCACTGGGTCAATCCATCTCGTTGAAGGCCTCCCTCTCTTTCGTCGACCCTCCACCCTACCAAGCATGACATCCTTCTCCAGGGAATGGTCCCTTCTGACAACATGACCAAAATAGGTGAGACGA